ATATATTCACAAAATTTTATCGGGCTTGGTTCATATTTGCCCCTAGCCCCCATATAAAGCCTCTTTCAGAAAATTAGTTTTTCATCCATAAATTGCTTAAATGTATCGGAACAAGGGAATATTGAAGATAAATTCGATATTATGAAAAATAAATCACATTTAATATTCATAACTGGTGTAGGGTATCATATGGTCGGCCACGCCCGACTATACTTTCTTACTTGTTTTAAAACAACTTTTAAACAAGTCAAACGAAACTTAAACCATATTCAGAAAGTAGACGTTAATATATTTCTCATATGAATTTAAATTTGATTTTTATTTGTCTAATATTCGTGAAACATGGAGTTTAACGGTTGTATTCATAAAAAGTTAATTAAGGTTTATTAAACATTATTAAGCAAAATCCACGAAAATGGTATTCATAAACGTCAAATAGCTTAAAATACCTTCAATAAACCAATGACAAATAGAAAAAATTTATTGTACGCTCGACCCTACTTTAAGCCAACAATAAGTTGAATTCTTACAAATTTTGTCTCTGATTAAGCTTTTTTCATTAATTTTAGGTTGAAGACGAAAACTAATCATGTTTTATTCTGAAATGAAATCTAAAAATTGTAATTTTAACGTTTACAAATTTGTAAATAAAATTCTAGATAAATTTTAAAAGTTTCTATTTTGGTGAAAAAACTAAAATCTAGGCATTATTGGATTAATAGATGAATATTTGACAGTATTCCAGTTGGTTAATACTATTTTGGCAATTTGGAAATGCCCGCCTGTCAATCAAATCATGGCCACAATCATTTTATTTGTCTTTTTCATAGTTTATTCGCTAAATATAAAGCCATGAAGTAATTAAGAGTGTAAATTATATTGATTAGTGTTCTATCAATGCAAAATATCTTCTCCGGCAATAAAGTGTAGTCTTTTATCAAAGAAATTTATCAGTATTTACAAAAATTTATTAAAAATTGCTATAAAAATAAGTAAAAATAACAAAATGTGCATAGTGATGTTTATTTTGTCACTAAATATTCGTTATTCGAATACTTTTAATTATAATTAAAAATATATATGTTATATTCATTCATCTGAACTAAATATATATTTATTGTAGCCATGTATACATTTATTTTTCTTAAAAGTTCGTTCTTATTTTCAAAAATGTGTTATAACCAAAAATATAAAATTAAGAAAACCGACTCAACGAATATTTTATCCTAATTGTTCGCAACACTAAGGCGCAATTTACATTAAGACTTTTCAGACGTCTGTTTTTTCCAATTCTCTTTTGAGAATCTTCCAAAAAATCATGAACATTTATACGGTGATTTTTTACATGCAACTATGCATGTCTATTTTTGATGTTTAATTGTATAATCCTTTTTAATTACTTATTCGTAATAAAAATAAAATGAAATTTTTAACATAAAAACCATTTAATTTGATTTAAAAAAATTTAATTACACGCTATAGTATTTTTTTAATGCAAATTTTAATGTTTTCATGTAAAAAAAAGACATAATTATTTTTTTACATGAGCATAATATCAACAGTACGAATGAGTTTAAAGAGGAATGTCAAAAACAATCATAAAAATCCCAAATCATGTTTGTTTTCTTACCCCCCCATTCTTCTCTACCCCGCTCACCGCCAATCATCGACAAACATGAAAACAGACGTCTGGGCAAACATGAAAAAAATCATCGTGTAAATTGGGTGTAACACAGAAAATGACAGCCAAATTGTACAGTGCTGCCAAGTTAAACAATAAACAGCACAATAGTTAATGTAGGTTTATTATTTGTTTATGAATACCACAATTTTATTAATGGCTTTTAAGTCTAAAGTGTACTTTAACTATTGTGTGATGATTTAAATCTAAAATAAGCATTTTTTATGAATACAACTGTAAGTTTTTATGTTTAAAACGAGATAATAGATCTCGCACCGAATGTAATAGACGTATTAACATTTAATAAAACTATGTACACTAGAGTGCTCCAAAAAAACGAAGTTACGAAGTTGCCCGTCCCCATCTCTAGAATTGTTCTTTGGGTTGTAAAACTATGTCATACAAAAAATTAGGCTGATTGGATAACGTTAACAGGTGCCGCAACGGCTCCGAAGTTTTCAAGTGCATTTACAAGCGGAAAATATCGATTTTTTCAGTTTTTTCTCAAATTTGGCCATTTAGTAATAAATTTTGAACATTATTGTAAAGGAATCGTAATGAGAACAGAGTAAGCATTTCGGAAAGATATAAATCACAAAAATTGCTTGAGAACATTAAAAGTTATTGCTAATTCCCCAGGCCATTAACGTGTCTCACAGCACATAACTTCGAAATGTGACAAAAAAATTACTTTTATATTCTAAAAAATCATTTATTACTCGAATATTAGTTTTTGCCCTTATAAGATAACGCTAACTCGTTCTCATCTATGGTCAAAAAAGTTTGATTTTTTCAACGGCCGTTTCAAATCTCCAATTTCAGTTTTTTTGAAACTTTGTTAAACAAATTTCAAAATTTTTACGAGATCTCATGGGGATTTATGGTCAATAAACGGTAAAAATATTAGATCAATATTTCTTACAGTTTAGCTGTACCTGCGATTTGAACTCGGCGGATTTCGGGAAAATCGAATTTTTTGTGTAATATTTTAGAGAATACGTATTAATTCTTTACTGATGCATATTTTAAATAAAGTAATATCAGAGTATTATGGTCTAGATAATATTAAATATATATCCGAAGTTTTATTAAAATCGGACATTCTTAACCCATAAGCTATAGAATTCAAAGGTCGAATTTTGCAATACTTGGGTATTCTTAGTGTACCATATCGAAATTGCAAAATTCGACCTTTGAATTCTATAGCTTATGGGTTAGAATGTCCGATTTTAGTAAAACTATATATATTTAAGATATATATATATATATATATATATATATATATATATATATATATATATATATATATATATATATATATATATATATATATATATATATATATATATATATATATATATATATATATATATATATATATATTTAATATTATCTAGACCGAAATCCGCCGAGTTCAAATCGCAGGTACAGCTAAACTGTAACAAATATTGATCTAAATTTGTTTAGCAAAGTTTCAAAAAAAAATGAAATTGGAGATTTGCAACGGCCGTTGAAAAAATCAAACTTTTTTGACCATAGCCGAGAACGAGTTAGCGTTATCTTATAAGGGCAAAAACTAATATTCGAGTCATTATAGATATATTTTAAGTAACAAAATAATTTTTTAGAATATATCCCAAAAAATGTAATTTTTTTTGTCACATTTCCAATTTATGTGCTGTGAGATACGTTAATGGCCTGGGGAATTTGCAATAACTTTTAAAGTTTTGAAGCAATTTTTATTATATCTTTCCGAAATGCTTACTCTGTGCACTTTGCGATTCCTTTACAATAAAGTTCAAAATTACTAAATCTCCAAATTTGAACAAAAACTGAAAAAATCGATATTTTCCCCTTGTAAATGCACTTGAAAACTTTAGAGCCGTTGCGGCACCTGTTAACGTTATCCAATCAGCCTAATTTTTTGTATGACATAGTTTTACAACCCATAGAACAATTCTAGAGGGGGACGGCCTGCCAGACAATTTTTTTTCCTTCATACAAGCTTGAATCACATATGATTGACTTTTGTAGGAGGCATTTTACATTTAATTATTAATTTTAGATGAAGACTAAACTAATTATGTACATAAAATGTTAAAAATAAGCATTGTACATACATATGTATATGACGCATCGAAAAACTCGGGCATTTGAAAATATTCGGTTGCCCTTCTTATAAATTAGAGGTGTCCAAAGATATCGATTTGTTGTCTTATTTTGTTCATTAAAGTCTTAAACTAACTGGTGTAAAATTTAAGTCCAATCGGATATCGGATATTTACCTAATTTTACACTATTCAATCGATTTCCGGCAAGGGGTGCCGTTATTCGAATGGAACAAGAGTTAGTTTTAGATGCTAATGGACAAAATATCCATCTAAACAACATCTACCTACATATATTTTTTTGGCACATTAGAGTGTCCCGAGGAACAGCTTTTTAAGAATTTGATGTGGGAATACCTATCAATCGATGCGCAATAAAGTACTGAACACGAGAAAAATAAAATTTTTCGAATGGTCCTCAGTTATTATTTTTTTTTTGAAAAATAAAATGTCTTCGATTTTTTCAAAATGGGTCTCAAAAATTCCGTTATTTTCTGCTGATTACGGCAAAAGTATGTAGAATATTTTTGGTCCACAATATGATTTTTAGTGGGTTGGAGAGGAATATTATTTTCGCCTTTTTTTCGAATTGACGTAATTTTTAGCTCATAAAGAAAAATATTTAAAAAATAGTTTTGCATTTGGTTTAGTCCATTTCAGAATTTTTTGAAATTTGTGTGCCCTTTATAATACAATAAAAGTCGTTTTGCGGACCAGAAATAGATTAACAAAAATTTTAATTATTTTTCCAGTGATAAGCTCAAAATTACGGTATTTTTTACACCCATTTCGAAAAGATTGAACAACATTATATTTTATCATATAATACTGAGATCAAGATTTTCAATCGTAGGTAGGGAACTGAGGACCTTTTCAAAAAAATGTTTTTTTATTTTTCTAGTATCGTTTGAGAGGTATTCATCCAAAAAAGTGGTCCACGAGACACCCTAATGCACATGTATGTATGTATGTATTTGCAAAAGGTCGTGATTAAAATGAGAGTAAAAAGAACATTTTAAAAGTTTTATCTTGACATGCGCAAAACATAGTAATTTTTAAAAAAGTAAATTATTTCCATAACCATAGAATAACTTTGGGTAGATTTATAAAAACACGAGTTCGTTTTTTAACGTCGTGGCGAAAGCATCAAATTAACGTAAAGTTATTGACGCGTGTTAAAATCAAAACAAATATGGAGGAATTATCAAAATTTGTCACTGAATCATTCAAATGTTCAAAAATTGAATCGTTTTCTCAAAGTCAAATAAATGCTAGTAATGATTTATCAAATAAGATCTTAATGAAATATCAATCAACCTCAGATGATAGTGACAAAACTGATGACAATGAATCTATAGATATAGATATTACAGATTTATCTGCTAGTGATGAATCAAAATCTTCGTCAGAAATTCCAGTAGATGACTTAAAGCGAATATCATTGCTGAAAAGTGAAAATAAAGAAAGAGATATGCGAATATTTTGTGTAAACATAAATAAAACATCGGTGGAAAATATTAACTCCAACAATAATTTTGGGCTAAAAACAAAAAATTGGCTCTTAACAGAATCATTTAAGGAAAACAAGCCGCAGAAATGTTCCCAAGTAACTCCATTTGGTAAATACATGAACACAACTCATTATAAAAACTTAAAAAATGTCGTTTCGAAAAAAAGAGCTTGGAATGCTATATGTTTTACCATTTCTTAAATAACTTTACCGCCACATCTAAAAAAGCGTTAGCTTTACTTGTAAATTATAAATTTATATGGGAATTGAAGCTCAACGGTTTATTAAGGAAGGACAGTTAAACAAATCATTGAATTTAAAAAATTAAAACAAATTTAAATAGTAGGCGTTAATATGTCTATCATCTAAATTGAAATGGAATTTTGAATTTCACAGACCAACAAATTTTTCTCCAGTACAAATTATTGTTTTTTCAAACTTTAGATTAACGAATTAGTACTAACGACGAATTACGCATGGTAGATATGTGAACATTTTGATGTGTCAGTTTTCTTAAGCATATGTTTATACAAACCAAATAAATATTTTATTTTGTCTGGTTTAGATTTTAAAATGCGTTGCATATGTATGTAAATTACTTTTTAAACGCTTTAGCGTACTTTACACCAACATTTTTTTATTTTATGTTGAAAACTTTTCCACTCGCTCTCAAAGCATTCTCAATTGGATTTGGGTCCATTTAAACGACTTCTGAATTAATACAAAATGTTGTTCGCAACACCATTTTATACGATTTTATACCCTTCACCTTCGTGAGAAGTTTATATATAAGTTTGTCATGCCATTTGTAATTTCCACAATATAATTTATATATATATTCTGAATCCTTATAGATAGCGGAGTCGATCCGTCTGTCTGTTGAAATCAACTTTCAGAAGACCCCAGATATCTTCGGGATCCAAATCTTCAATAATTCTGTCAAACATGCTTTCGCGAACTTTCCTATTTAAAATTAGCAAAATCAGTCCATATATAACGAAGATATAAGCAAAATCCGAGACAACCTCTGAAATAAAAAAAGACAATTTTTTGCATGCCTTTATAAATAAGCAACAACAACACTGCTTATTGGGAAAAATTTTGTTTTGTATGTTTGGATGTCTGTGGGTTTCATTGCGTTGTGTATTTTGTTTTGTTTTTTTTTGTGTATTTTGTTTCGTATGTTTGGATGGCTGTTATTTCATTGCGTTGTGTATTTTGTTTTTTGTGTATTTTATTTCGTATGTTTGGATGGCTGTTGGTTTCATTGTGTTGTGTTTTTTTGTTTTTTGTGTGTTTTACTTCGTTTAGCGTTGTTGTTGTTTCTTTTGCTTTGCTATTGCTTAAGTAATGATAGAGTCGGGAAAAAGTAAATAAATTTTATCAAATTGTTTTTAAACACACTATGGTGAAGGGTATATAAGATTCGGCAAAGTCGAATATAGATTTCTTACTTGTTACATATGCTGTACGTATACGCATACTGTCGTAATTTCATATAACGGGTGACCAAAAATAAAAGGAGTTATAGTAGAATAACGAAAAAACTTATATTTTAACAAGTAAGAAAGTATAGTCGGGCGTGACCGACCATATGATACCCTACACCAGTTATAAATATTAAATGTGATCTATTTTTCATAATAAAGCATTTATCTGGAATATTACCTTGATACCGATTTATTTAAGCAATTTATTGACGAAAAACTAATTTTCTAAAAGAGGCTTTATATGGGGGATAGAAGCAAATGTGAACCGATTCCGATAAAATGGGCTGGATAGATTTATATTTATATAATATTTGTCTGTGATAAATTTCATTGCAATAACAGTGTTAATAAGTGAATTGCGGCTATTCAAGTCATTTTCCGAAGGGGGGCTTTGTATGGGGGCTAGGGTCAAATGAAGTCCGATCATTTAGAAATTCGGCAAGGTCATCAAGGCTTGTATAAAACTTAGTTGTGCGAACTTTTATCGAGATACATTTATATTATACAGAATTATGAGCTCAAAAGCCCTTTTCGGGGGGTTCAGTTGTATGGGGGCTAGGTGAAATAATGGACCGATTTTAACCATTTTCAATAGGCTTCGTCCTTGGACCAAATTTCATCAAATTAATACTTTGATAACAACGTTTACATGAACACACGGACGGACGGACGGACATCGTTAAATCAACTCAGAAAGTGATTCTGAGTCGATCGGTATACTTAAAGGTGGGTATAGTACTAATATTTTAGTGCGTTACAAACATCAGCACAAACGCATAATACCCTTCCCACTACCGTGGTGTAGGGTATAATGAGTTTTGATATACATATGTACTTAATACATCCTCCAAATTTCGTTCAATTCAGAGCAAAATGTCCTTCTTCAAATAATCCAAAAAAATAAAATTTTCTAATAAAATCACTTATACATATATCCTTAGTGAGGATTCCTTATCAACCTTCAAGGATATATGTACATACATATGGGCGATTTCGTGTCAAAATACAGGGTTTTTTTAAATGAGCGTAACTTTTCACCTATTGGTCCTAGCAAAAATTGTCCAAATGACTTTAGATAGCTATATCTTCACTGTTTCAAAAAAAATCTTTTTCAAAATTTCTTATAAAATCATTTATAATGAGATACTTGAGTAATTATTAGCGCTGTCAATTATTCGTGTTTAAAATTATTCGAATAAAAATGTACTATATTTTTTCATTCGAGTAGTCGATTAAATTTTAAAAATTATTCGAACGAATAACGAATAAAAGTTTTTATTCGAATAATTTAATAAAATAAGTATAAATGAAATTTGCCAAACACCATCAAAATCTTAAGATACGGGTAAAAACCGTTTTTGTACATTAATACACTTATAAATCAGTAACTTAGTTAAATTTCAATCTATTTTATTTCTCAAGTGGAAGTTGAGGCCTTTATAATGATATATGCGATGTTTAACTAACCTGTTTTTCAGACGTTTTTACAAACAGTTTTATATAAGAAAATCGTACTATTTATTAATGTATTAGATTATTATTTCATGGAAAGGTTTGTTGGTAAAAAAATAACATAGTGTCCACTGAATGTATCTTTCAATGTTCTGAAAATCAGTTTCCTGGACGTAATTCCTAAGAATTTCCCAATCAGTGTTCGTGAGAAATGTTTCGCTTGACCAAAGTTTCCGACATATTTTGTGTCTGGTATGCGATCAGGCACGTCCGATGATTGTTTATAGTATACATTGATGACGTGTCCTATAACCGCTTTTTGCCAGTTCACCTAAAGTTATGAGCCATTCGGTTGTAAGTGCAGCCTCTTATGTTTCAATGGGTGGAATATCTAGCAACGTTTCTAGAGCCTTGCTTGGCAGCATGTACGCTGAACTCCCTGTTGTAGTTTGATATTACACTTTTTGTCCAAAGAAGTAAACCCAATATTAAAGCATACACTAGAATTTGTCTAATTACACTTTTATAAAACCAATGTGTCATAGTAGGACTAAAAACCCATTTCATGCCTCTAGTTCTCATATATATCGCTCAGCACCGATATGCCTTTTTGATCCTATCCTCTATGTGGTGTCTCCATTTCGGTGAAGGATTACACTCTGTCTATCACCGGTATCTTCTTGCCCAGAAAACAGGTTTTAGTATACTTAGAAATTGTTGCATTTCTTGAAAAAGACAGATACTTACCCAGGAAAAACTTCGCTTACTAGGCGACTATGAACTACTTCTTTAATGACTTACTTTGTAGGTAAAATAAAAAAAAATCAAAACACACAAACAAAAAAATAAAACAGTTGCTTTTTTCAATTTGTTACTTTTTTTTACGCTTTAGCAAATGTATATTTTTAGACAAACAGAAAAGAAAATAGTATTTATATGTCAAAACCATTATTTGACGCACAATAAGACAGCTATGCGGTGGTGTAGAGAGTGTGTGCCGAACTGGCAGCCGGAAGGTTCCAATTTCAACCCCTGTCTGTGTCGGCTTTTTATTTTTTCATTTTTATTTAAGAAAGTATAGTCGGGCGTGGTCGACCATATGATACCCTACTCCATTTATGAATATTAGATGTGATTTATTTTTCATAATAAAGCATTTATCTTGAATATTACCTTGATTAAGAGGCTTTATATGGAGAATAGGAGCGAATGTGAACCGATCCAGATAAAATGGGCTGGATAGATTTGTATTTATATAATATTTGTCTGTATTTCATTGCAATAACAGTATTAATAAATGAATTGCGGATATTCAAGTCACTTTCTGAAGGGGGCTTTGTATGGGGGCTAGGGTCAAATGAAGTCCGATCATTTCGAAATTCGGCAAGGTCATCAAGGTTTGTATAAAACTTAGCTGTGCGAACTTTCATCGAGATACATTTATATTATACATAATTATGAGCTCAAAAGCCCTTTTCGAGGGGTTTAGTTGTATATATATGATATATATATATATATATATATATAATGAAACCAACAGCATCCAAGTGCCGGTCCACACTTTGTGTGGAGAAACTTTTTCTTAATTCTCTTTTAAAGTTTCCTTAATGCCTACACACAGAAACTTTTGTTTCAGAAACTACGTGTTAAGCCCCTTTCACACGAGCACACATGTAATATAATCTGTCAAAATTTTGTGTAGAAGAGAACGGATGGGATCGTCTAAATGCAATACGTAACGAAATCATCACACATTGAGAGAAAATGCTGATGGAAAATTTCTTCATTTTTTGAAATGATTCAAAAAACAAGTACGTCGCATTACATCATGGATGTATTTTTATGTAAACACATACGAAAAAAAGTGAAACAGCTTTTTCCATCTTTCTTTGTTATTGTTTAATACCAATCGTGTAAACACAAAAAATATAAATCATACGACTTTTATTCTCTTTTTTGTCATACGGATGGAATATCATTTTACTTTTTCATTAGACTTGTCGTACGTAAAGTGTGATCGTCTGAAGGGCCCTTTAATTGCATTGATTTGTTTTTGTACGAATGAGAAGAATAACAAAACAAAACGAGTTTTCGAGTACGAGAAACTCCGTACAGCGAGAGAGACGAATGATATTTCTTTCTCTTTCACGCAAAATCAAAAGTTTCC